CTTTCCCTAAGCTTTCCCTAACCTTCAGCAAACACGAAAAGACTGCAAAATCAGGCTTATATCATAAAAATGAGTGCTGGGGTTATTTAAATAAATAATTAAATGATTTGGGGCACGGTATCTTTCTTTTGACTGTAGCAATAGGTACTTTTTGAGTAAACTTTCTCAATTTTCAACTCACTAATAATTAGTCTGTATTTTGCCCTTTAAATTCTTATCAGACAATAAAATTCACACTAACTGGCTGTCTTTGAAAAAGGTCCAAATTCCTCTGGTATCACAAAGCAAGCAGCCTGTAAGTTACTATGTTCAGTATTCATGGCTGTATTAACCATAGCCGTGTTTGGAAACACATTGTATTGTTATTAATTATCCCACTATTAAAAGGGCTCAAACTTTTCATTTCATTTTCTGACCTTAACTTTCAATTTGAAAATTTTAATATTTCTGTTTGTTTTAGCATTTGAATACTCATGCAAGCAAGGGAAGGCAAGAATATATATATTGTATATTGTAATATAATATATATTGTAGCCCAGATCTAACACTGCTACAAATGGATACAGACCAACTGAGTCAGTGGTATTACATCACCAGAATTTAGCTCTGCAACATAATCTAATATGTCATGTTTCAGTACAGCAATATTTCACTTTACATGCTGTGAAATATTTCACAATATTTCAGCAGTTTCTTTGTTCTTTGAACAGCTACTCCAAAAAGATTAAAAATTTGCATGAAGCCCTGGTTAACAAAGGGTAAAACTCCCCTAGAGAGGGAATTTAACAACCCAAAGGTCAGCTCTGTGTAGCACACGACAACCCAGATTCTCCATTTACATTAGGGTGGACCTCTCAGCACATACTCCTGCCCACAGAAACTTAATTCCATTAGAAAGTTGGTGTGCAGACCAGCGTCTTTGGAAGTAAAATGTCACATGAATATCTTTGTAGTTGTTTTATTTTCCTTTCAGATGTAATCTTGGTATATTGCTACCCTAAAACCATCATCACAAGAATTCCAGAGTGCCCTTATGGATGGGAGGTTAATCAACTGGCCCTTGGAGGCATTTGCTACAATGGCATCCATGATTCAGGATATTACCAATTCACAATTCCAGACCTTTCTCCTAAAAACAAGTCATACTGTGGGACGCAGTCAGAGGTAAGATTATCATAGTCAGCACTTCAGAAATGTTGTAGAAACACCATAGCCTGAGCTGGACTCACGAATCAAGCGAACTTGCCAAAGGAGCCCCATTTGCTTCAGTAAGAACTGCTGAAAAGTAGAAGCAACACCAGTATCAGGGCTCATTTGTATTTGAGGAGGAATTAAATAGTCTTGCTGTGCACTGACAGACAAAATACTGGCTTAGTGATGTTAGCTCTGATTATTGGTCCTCCATTTCAACATATCTGTATTACACAGAACATACTTGTACAGTAGGCAGCAAAAGGGTATAGAGAGCTATGAAACCAGGTTTTCTCAGGGATGGTATTTTGTCACTGCATTGGGGCTTCATGTCTAAGTGCCACGTTGCTTCTGATGCCTCAGATGCTCACAGCACACATTTCTGTCTCGCCACCTACAGTTTAAGAATCCCATCTATCACTTCTATAACTCCATTGTGTCCAATGACACCTCCATCATCGTGAAGAGCCAGCCTGTGAATTACTCCTTTGCCTGCACATATAACGCAAACTACTTGGTGAACCAGGCTGCCTTTGACCAAAGGTAAGTCCTGTTCTTGGATTGAGCCCCATCTCATTTTCAACACCATGTTTCACTCGTGCAGAAACTTTCTTATGTTCTTAGGGTGGCCACTGTCCATGTGAAGAATGGGAGCTCTGGTTCATTTGAAAGTCAGTTATCCCTCAACTTCTACTCTGTAAGTGCCATTCATCATTCCCCCTTCACCTTCTGTTGACTTCCTGGCCATCAGGAAAACCTAGACTAGGAGCTGGAAGAAAGAGCTGATGATTTTCTATGCCATGGAGAACATTAGGATCCTGCTGCAGATAATCACAACAAGAATCACGAGGGTTCTTGTTTCTATCGATTAGCAGAGAAGCAGTTACACCAAACAGAGCAGACATACCAGTTCTTTAAAATACCTCCAAATGAGGCACACTGCTGAGCAGCACATATCTACATGCTGACAGTTATTTGAGGAAAAAGTAAAACCTTGTTTGTAGTCCAACTCAAAGAGAAGCACGCATCTTCAGGCACAATTGCTACATTATCTCACTAAATAGAGAAATCTCCATGCATTTGCTGGTAGATATTTCGTTTTCCCTGGAGATCTTTAGGTGATGCTGGAATTTTGTTTCTGACATTTATCCCTGAATTTTTTTTTGAAACATCAGCATCCTTCCCACAACTTCTTTACTCTGCTGGAGCAGAAATCATCTGATCCTTAAGCTTCCCCCCGCCCCCTGCCAAAAGCACAGCTAAAAGTACCAAAGACCATCTCTATTATACCACAACTAGAAGAAAGCACAACTTGTAACATACTCCTTAAAGGCCAGGTAGGGAATATTTAGCACAGGGAGGGTATGCCCTTCTTGGATTTAGAATATCAGTTGATTACTGAATGCTTTGGCAGCCTTTGGTGCTTCCAGGAGCTCATTATTTCTGACATAAGGTACACAGCCTTTATATAGGAAAGAAAGGTCTCATGAAGAACTACACTGCTGCCGTCAACTCTTGACTGAATGACTGCAAAAACAAATGATGGACATTGAGCCGTGGAGCTCTGGCATTCTTTTTTTGGACAAATGACTCTCTTCTCCAGTGGTGCTGGGGGCTCCTGAGAATGAAGGCACAAGGAGATAAACTGCATATAATACACAACCACTGACCACTCCTTTATCTCACTCATGCCTTCATAAGTGAGAAAATGTTAGTTTTGATTAAACTTTCTTTTTTTTTTCCTGACCAAATGGAGACAAAGCATTATTTTTGCCTTGCCATTCACCCCCATTGCTGCCTGATTGAGCCCCCTGGCAGCCACCATGCCAGGTGCTCAGAGTGCCCATTTCTCCGTCTAAAACCAGCATCTGGGCTGCTGCACCCCAGGGGACACTCCAGTTTTGCCTGTCCTTTAGTCTGTGAGACCAATAACAGCAAAGGACTGTGATGTAGCATTGAGGATGGAGACTGAGTGGAAATCAGACCTTCAATTCTGAAGCTTGTTAGAAAGAAAAGAAAGATAGTACTGTAAAACAACCTAGACTGATGGCGCTTGGCAAAAGCAGCGATACACCAGATTCAGCTCATTTTAGCAAAAGGATTGATAAGAGTCTTGCAACAGTACTTCTGTGACAATTCCTGTGCCAGCATCTCAAATTGCAGGTTGAGTTATGCCCTGTTTTCTTCAAACATGATAGCCATCTCAGGATCAACTAATGCAGTGCTTCCCAGGCCTTTCAGGATGGCCAAGGAAGGTGCAGGGCAGCACGAACACTCTCCCCTCTGTGAGAGGGAGCGAGGCTGGAAAGCAGGACTTGCCCTGTCCAGCAGGTGCCAACGTGCTGTCTGGAGCTGTGGAGTTCACCTCAGCACTTCTCTTTGTTGGAGAAATCGTTGCTTAAATCAGTACATTCCTCAGGGCACTGATAACCACGGATCAGGAACCTAAACACAGTCTTAAGGCTTAAATTCAGTGCATGCAACCTATCGGGGGTTGCAATGGGAATAGCATAGCATCTCACAGACACCGCTCCATGTAGAAAAACAGAAGAAAAATAGCGCTTAGATAACTGAGCAAACACTGCAGGGAAAGATAGTCTAAGAGCTCTGGAGGGATCTGGAACTATGCTTAGCCCTAACCTGCAGTATAGATTTAACCAAGACAAATGCTATGAGTAAACATATTACATGTTAAATAGGACTGCTGCTATTTTTGTTCAGATCTTATGCAATAAAAAGGAGCATACCGGAGGCAGTAGCAAGCTCACTTACTGCTCACATGCTATATACCCCAGCACCAACATCTGTCATTTATTACCATTTTAAGCTAAGCATTAACAAAAATATTTTCAAAAACCACACTGAACTTACAACTGCCCTCCTATCAAGCACCTATTTTGGAGCTTGCAGGTAATAAAGACTTGGACTTTTGGCCTACACTTCTCCAAAGCTATCTGAAGTTGCCACATGCCTTTGCTTTTCATGTTGTTAGTAATGCTCAATGCCTTTCTCTTTCAAAGAATGCCAAGTTTTCAATTGTAAAAGAAGCCCCTTTCATCGTTGAAACATCAGAAATTGGTTCTGACATATTTGCTGGAGTGGAAGCTAAGGGCTTAAGTGACAGGTAAGCAAATGAGGGGGTAATAATTAGCAAGTAGTCAACCAGGACATTGCTTGATGATCTGGAGTTTGTCTCCTCAGGTTCAAAGTCGTTCTCAACAACTGCTGGGCAACCCCCTCCTCGGAGTATTTCTACCAGATCCAGTGGCCACTGATCACCAAGGGGTAGGTGCTGATGGGAGCGAGGGCAGCACCCCCAGTACAGCACAGTCCCGGGGTCCTCGTGCTGATATTGTGCAGCAGAGTTATCCCAAGGCTCCTCAGCAAACACAGCTGAACATGGGTGAGAGGGCCACACCACTGGTGTTCATGCCAGCTGGAGGAGGACACACGTGGTAACTGGTGCTATGGGGAGCACTGGCCCCACCATCTCTGCCTTTTCCTTCTGCCCTGACAGCAGGACCCAGACAGGCTTGTCAGACTGCAGGAACAGGCCACACTGTTCAGTTGAGTTGTCTGCCATCCTGCGTTAGTGCCTGCTTTGCCTCGGTGCACATCAGGCCCTCTGCTAGGGGGTATCAGCATCTGCAGTCACAGAACAGGAGGAAGGCGGCAAGGGTGCATTTTGGAGACAACACTTTGGATTCTGGTGTTCTGGTTTGAAAGTAGGTAACACCCTGCAAATTGACCATAGGCTTCGAGAGTGCTCTAAGGCTCTGCTAACCTTTTAATGATTGTAAAAGCAGCCAAATGCCACCAGCGGGTTGTGACCCGCAGTCACAGCCGTTCTCCAGAATGCATGCTGCTACACTGCTTCCCCATACAGGTGTGCCACGGACAACTCCATCCTCGTGCACGAGAACGGGAAAACCAGTCGGGCCACGTTCCAGTTCAACGCCTTCCGCTTCCGTAACATCCCCAAGCTGTCCAAGGTCTGGCTGCACTGCGAGACCCACGTGTGCGACAGCGAGAAGTTCTCCTGCCCTGTGGTAAGGCTGAAATGCAGGCACTAGATGCAGCGAGGGGATGTGGAGAACCTTCCTCGGGTTCTAACCAAGTGCAAGGGCTTTCACTAGAGGGAGCCAGCACCCAGCAGCAGTGCCCGCGGCCACCCCTGCACCCTGATCCCTGTCACGCCATGGGCACTAACCTTGAGTAATGTGTTTAAACACATTGAGAAACACTGTAGCCACTTAAAAATCTTTTTTTTTTTTTTTTGGTCAATATTCCCGACTAGACTCCTATTTACCAAAGAGGTTACACTTTTAAAAAATGAGAAAATAGAAGGAAGTAGAGATGTTACCATTTTATCCAATATTCCAGGGGTAAGAGCACCCTGGGGGCAGTGGGAGAACGTGGTTCAAGACACTTCTCTACTTGAATGAAACCTACCCATCCCTCCTTCCCTCTCCCCTATACAATTACTTCATGATAAATTACTGATCTGGGGGCTCTTCTGTATAAAAGAAATAGTTTCCACTGCAGTAGGAACTGAGATCAAGGAACAGCTTAATATGACCTTAGGTGGGAATGAGAGGGCAAGTGCTATACAGTGTGTTATTTAACATGGGGAACTGCTACCAAGAAGAATTTCTTTAAAGATTCCTTTTTCTCTCCTTCAGTAAATCAGAGAGTCACTATTCCTTCCCTTCCTCAGCCAATGAACATGCCATGGCTGTCAAGTGGATTTTATTTAACATACAATGAAAGCTCAAAGTATTGCCTTGCCTACGTGCACACACTGTCACTTTAACAATATTTCTTGCTGAAGGATAGGAAGAATCACTCTTAGTCAAACCAATTTTTCCCTCTAAACACTCTCACAGTTCAGGAGTCAAATGAAAATAGCATTTTTTTTTTTTTTTTTGCCTATCCCTAGCATTATGCAAGGGACACTTATTTGTGCAAAGATACAATATATCAGACAAGTTTCAACCACACATACACACAAAAAAAGCAGGCTTACGTATTTCATTTAAAATTCTTTTTTCAACTATTTATTCAGAAACAGGTGACAGCTAAGAGAAACAGAAAATCATTTTAAAGCTACTAAAAAACATACAAGGAGCTGTTTTAAAGATTCTTACCTCTTTTCCAAGCCAATAGAGCCTGTGAGACTGACTCATAACCATAGTTAGGACCAAGCATGGTTACCCTTTGGCACTCCATATCTGCCCTTTTCACTGTACTTGCCAGACATCTACATCCTCCTCATAGACACAGGAGGAAATTCCCTCCTTGATGCTCAGTATAGGACAATTGCTCAATCAATGCGACATCCCTGAAGCCTTCTTCCATCCCAGAACTCCAGATGCTGGTCTGCTGCAATTACATCCTATCCAAGCTGGGGATCTATGTGTACAAGCCATACATTACTCCTGGAAAAAGTTATCACATGCTGAGCTTGTACAAATGGCCACAGCTGGGCATCTGGAAAGGTCAGGGAATGGACAGGGACCTTTATTCTACAGAGCACCACCTCTAATACAGCCCTTGTCAGTTGAGACAGGAATCATTAGTGCTGGATGCGAGATGATAAATATGAAAGGAATTTGGCACTTCCTGTTCCTGCCTCACAGACAACAATTGTAATTTGCAATAAATAACAACATAAGTCTTCCTAGAGGTCATGGATTAAGCAGATGGAGCTCAGCTGCCCCCTTCCTCCACAACAGGACACTTAAGGCAGCCTGGAAAGGCAGGCCAGGAGAACCTGGGGTTAGTATCACACACCCCCTTTGATTTCTGCAGTCTTAAAACTGAAGAAAAGCACTTACACTGACAGCCACTGTAAAAACGGTAGCACACAAAAATCCTCAGGAAGCGCACAGTGAAGTTTCTCCTTCAAAAGTAACCTATCCTGCACCAAACGATCTCTGGTAATTACAGCAATAAATATCACTAGAAAACATACAGCAAAACTGATTAGATTTTGTTTCCTTGGTTGGAAACATGAGTTGTATTAGGTATTTTTCATAGAAAAATGCATGGTTTTCTCTCTGATCTCCCCAGATATGTGAAAGACGAAAACAGCGCATGGAACAAACAGGAGGTGTTCTAATGGCAGAGCTCTCTGTACGCAGTAAGTGATCAGGTTTCCAGGGCTTTTTCCTCCCTTTTGGAGGCAAAGAAACAAGGAGCAGTGGCTTGGAGTGCAGCAGCAAGCGTGGGAAGCAGAACGGCGCTCCCAGAGCTGCGTCCCCCTCCCTGAGGGTAGGGAGGGTCTCCTCCAGATCCAGGGCTCTGACAGGAGACACACACTCATCATTCACAAAGTGCATTAATGCAGCTGTCCAGCATTACTGGGAAATGGACAAACCTCTTGCACATCTGGTTAGCAATCTAAACTCTTGGTATGCATTTGATTGCAGCAGCAGTCCAGACAAGCTCCGATAGAGCACATGTTGGTGGGGAAGAGATTCCCACACTCAGCAACAGCAGGAAAGCTGCTCAGATGATTTATGCTATTAGCTGATACTTCAGTGTAACCCTACATCTAGTAGGTTTACTCTGCTCTTCATGCCTGGCCCTCCTGACACGCATACATTGAGTTGTCACCTGTTTTCCTCCTTTCCCTTTGACTACTGCCTCCTGGAGGCACCAGGAATTTCTCCTGCAGTTGGTTTAATACTGCAGGTCCAGCAGATCTGCTGGAACAAATCCCTTGCACAAGGTATACCTGAATCACATCTTCAGTATGGCCACTTATACTGCTTTATCAGCTACAGTCACACCAACCTACATAATTCCAAATACCTGCAATGAAGCATTATTGCAAATCAGCATTTTCCCTTTGCAACAGCAAAACTCAGTTGAATTCAGAAAATAAAAGAATTGAGGGTCCTTTTATAACTCCAGGGTCACATAGCAGAGAGTAATACCAAGTGACAAAAACATCCAGAATTTCAAAATGTGACTGGCGTTATTTATTCTGTTCTTACAAAATACAGTTGTACACTTTTCCCTATTTTAAACATGCCATCCAAGTGTTTTTTCTTTTTCTCTTATTTTATACAGGCAAAGGTTTATCCAGTTTTTACACTCCTTCAGGTAAACAGCAAAATATGACAATGAAAATATCAATCCCATATTTGCATCTTAAATGACTGTCAACTTGAAAATGCATAGCTCAGAAACCCTGATAAATTCAGTAAATTGGATCAAAATAGACTACAAAAAAATCAAACTTTATTTCTCAATATTATATCCTTTTTTTTCCCTCCTTCCTGGCACATGTGCAACAAAACCACACCAATAATTTTCTGTATTGGGCATCATTTCTGCACTTATTTTCCAGTCTGAGAAGGGAACATTTCTGTAAACAAGGAAAATAAACAGACATGTTTCACTGGACTAGCAGAGATGTCCTGAAAACATGTCAATTTGGGGAGGGTTTTCAAAAACTCTTTCAATGCCTATTTGTTAAAACTTGATATGCTGACAGAGCCACATTAGGGAAACACAGTTACACTGATGGGGATGGAAGGAGAACAAGAACAGAAGATGAAAGGCAGCTGACAGTGAAGTACCCGCACTCACTCTGTGTTTCTCTTGCAGATATCATCTTCCACCTGCTCTTCATGATGGGATTCTGTGCTGTGTCACTATAAAACACAGTCTAGCTGCATTTCTTATCTTTTATCAAACCTCTTTGGAACTGGACTTCTTTACAAAAGATGTTTATATTACAGACAGAAGAAGAAAAAAATAAAAAATAAATAAATAAAACACACACAGAAAATCCTTGTGCACCATTTTACCAGATAATAAAATATTCCATGAGCTTTGTGTCTATAATACTGAGGAATCTGAAGGCAAATTTGCCGTTCCCTTGTCCCTGCAGGTATTTTATACCAGTGAAAACCTAGAAGTTTTGCATTCTGCTGATGCCTACTTTTCAAGTGTTGTGATGCTAGCAGTATTTTTTTTTCTATAAAGAACACAGGAATTTGCAAACTCAGTATTTCTAAAGCCAAATTTCCACATTCCATTCAGCTCACTAGGAAACATATAATGAAAAATGCAGCACTACCTCAAGAAAACAACAGGAGGTTCCATAAAACCTGGTTCTATGAAGTAGAATACTAGCATAATTCACCTGAGACCATACAGAAATGAATTTCACTGTCAGAAAGTACAAGGTAATACTTCCATAAGAATAAATTTCCAGCACCCAGGCTAAAGAAATAGTGTCTCTGCATGAGGGATGTGCTGGTTATACTCAGTCTACTCTTTAACCAAAGAAAGTGTCTCGAAAATTTTTGCAGCTACCTATCAATGTCTCTGACTTAAAACTAATTTTCACAGCTTGAGCCATGGCTGTCCAGCTATACTGCATCAGCGTACAAAGTCTAGCACTTATGACTACACCACGTGCTTAGGGAAAGTAATTGCATGTTGAATCCCAGCAAGAACATATTTTCATCAACCTGATGTACTCACCATTCTGGAAGCCAAATTTATAAGCAAGTCATTCTACCCATCCTTTCCCCATGTCACCTATTTTGTTCTGTTGGATAATAATCCAAATTCCTAGCTTTGCTACTGGAGATCAAGAGCTCACTCTTAATATTCTTAGCTCTTGCCTCTACTACCCTTAGATACGTTTTTTTCATGATAAATCAATTTGAACACAAATGGAGAATGTAAAGATTTATCTATTTCTGAAACCTTATTTCCCTAGAAACATCCTCATGCAGCTTTTCATTCTCTTCTTGCTCATATTTATACCCGCCAAGGTCAGGAGGAGTCAGGAGGCCTTTCCTCACAGTGCTTTCTGAAAGGACAGCATGCTCTTCCTTTTCAGTTCAGCACCTTCATTTCCCCACAGAACTAAATGAAAACTAACCGAACATGTCAGAGGGGAGAAAAACATGCTTTTCATGGAGAAAAAGTTAAAAGGCCCTCAGAATGTACCTGACAGCCTTTTCCTGCTTCTCAGCAGTATCGGTATTGCCAGGTAGAACATGGCATGTGCTGCAGAAGGCCCGGCACTGTTCAGATTAGGATGTCTTGCTGACTGGACAGGCTTAGTATGGGTATGGTATGGACGCAAATTAAGCACACTTGGCTTTGGGAAACAAGCTTATGAGCTTTAAATTAACCTTGGAGGCACAGTGGATGTCAGATACAACAAAGCCCAGTGGTAGCTTTGTACCTGAAGAAGCAACACTTTAGCATGGAGGTACTTAAGTACCTCATACAAGAATAATCTCTATAGGTATTCATGGCTGATTTAGAAGAGCAAGGCTCCTGAAAAGGTGGGATCTACAGCAGAGAGCTATAGACAGCCTCCAGAAAAATGCTACCAGCTCTGAGGTGTATTTAGCCATTACACACAACAGAGGGCACTCTCTTGACAGAATTGTCCAATTTAGGCGGGCAAGAATTTAAATCTGAGAACTGGATGAGCTACTTTGAAGCAATTGTTAGTCATAGAACTAAACAAGCACAGAGCTATTGAATGTTTTGCACATCACAGAGTATTTTGCCCAGAAATAATGATCCTGCAGATTTTTCCCCTTCTCCTTCTTTGCCCCCCTCTCTTTTTTTTTTTGCACTTCCCTTTCACCCTCCTCCCATTAACATCCCAAGTTTCATCACTCCTTCCCTAGTAGCTCTACCCGTTCCAACTCTTATCCTTGTCAAATGAGATTAACACACTGGCTCCTTTCCCAAAGTCCCTCTTTTGCCTTTCCCTTGCAACAATTAGCACTCTCCTATCATGATTATTTTCTCCAGAAAACTCTGAACAGTTTCTTTGACAGGTTAATTCTCTTCCCAGTCTTTAAAGCCTCAATAAATAATGTATTGGAACAAACATTACATGATTACAGCAAATCTGAAGCATTCCTGTGAACTCCCAGGCTACCTCCATGCCCACTGTCGAGTGGAGCCTCTGGGCATATATATTTTGCCCATATGTGTTACAGCACTGTGCTGAATATGGATCACATACCAGCTATCTGGGAACGGCAGGATGGACAAGGCCTATTGACAACCTCAAATACTGCCTTCCTACAGCACAGAACTTTCTACAGTTCATCATTGAAGAAATGTCCCCCTTAGTAGTCACCAAAAAGGTATGAATGTCTCAGGAGGCTGCAAAACATGAAGAGATTGCAGCTCCAGAAGGAATTCATTTACTGTTCCTAAAGGATGCACAAATTTTTCATCCTATATAACCTGCTTAACAAAAGGAGGCTATAATTATGCTCCTTTTTCATAACCATAACTGATGTTCACTTTTCCTAACCTTCATATGGCTATCATTATTTTTTCAGCTAAATACCATTTTGCCAGTTTCAGAAACCACAGTGATTTTAGCACAAATTTAAGATTACTAAGCTGTTCAAAATCTTCGATGCACAAGGGTGGATCTTTTGCAGATGGTGGGCATGAATATACTTTTCTTAAAAAAGCAGGGATGCCCTGGATGTTCAACTCTGCAGTGTTGGAGTCACTCTGTGAAGAAACTTTAGCCTTCAACCCTTTCATGCAACCGTCATTGCTTCAGCTACAAACACTTTACAAACCAATGATTTCCTCCGATCAGAATGGAAAGTGTCAAGAGCCAGGGAAGATCACTATATGAGGAAAAACCTATTTTCCAGAAGGACTGAGGAATCTGTCTTATACAATTGCTGAATAATAGGGTAATACCTATACTCAATCCATTTCCCTCCCTTGCATTTCTCTTGGAGTTAGCCAAGCTTCTGACTATTCTGCACTGCAGATTGGCACACATCCCCCTCAATCCTATCTCTTAAATCAGCCAGCAACAGAAAATGAAGTGGAAGGTAACAAACAGTACCTGCCTTGTAAAGGCATCTAGGTATCTACAGATACACTGGGCAGGGATTTCTCATGGTAGGTCAAATAGCCATCTCACAGGAAAGGGCAAAGAGCACATCAAATAGTTCCAAATGGTTTATTACAGCCAGTTTCTGAGGTTATCTGCAAGTGTACTTTAATGTACATAGACCAGTTTTATTCTAGCTATTCCTTACACTCCAAATGCCATCATCAACCACCAGTTTTCCTCAAAATCTTCCCACTTTTTTTCCTGTTCATCTGCACTGCCCAATCATTTTGACTATTAGAGGAGATTGAACAGTGATCAAAGTCTGTGGAGTATAACAGATTAAAGTACATGGAAGCATTTAGCAGACTTCTTTGCAGCACACATGACCAAGAGGAAAACTTCATTTACTGAGTAGTAGGTTACAATCCTGTTCTAGCACACAGCTCCAGATAGGTTGCATTACATTTGCCTTAATGAGATTAGAGGCTAGAAACAGCAAGCTCTTCCTATGGCTTCTCGCACAAAACAATTCATTTGAAAAATCCTTACAGAAGGATAAAATTGTCTCACAGCTCAGCATAGAAGCAAGCTCACTTTTAACCCAGCCCTCCAGCCACTATGGATAATAATAATAAACAAACACACACAACTTGATTTTTTTCTCCCCCTCCCCGAGGTTGTGCTTTTTGTTGCAATTCCTCCTCCTGCTTGGAGGAATTGCAGTGAGGTCAGGTTTTGCCATGCTTTCCGCTTCTCAGTTTGGCATCATAATGCTCTTGGCTATGCTAAAACACAAGGCCACCAAGGTCACGGCAAGAGATAGGATAGAAATGAACATGCACAGATGTCAAGATAGCAACGCAAGTTGCAGCACAACAGCAGTGACACATACATACATAATACTTTATTAAATTAGTCCACTTCATTTATAGAGGGGTAAACATCTTTGTTTGACAGTCCTTGCAGATGCGCAGTGACACATACATACATAATACTTTGTTTATTAAATTAGGACACTTATACAGTGGTAAACACCTTTGTTTGACAGTCCCTGCAGATGCAAAAAAAAACAGCAAGAAAAACTCCAACCGAGGCAGACGCAACACAGTTCTCAGGAGTACAAACTAGCTTGGCACCTCACAAATTGACACCTACACAAACTCAGGAGTACAAACTAGCTTGGCACCTGACAAATCAACACCTACGCAAGCAATTTTAAATCCAATACCCACATAGCAGCCATATAGCACCTCTCCTGGCAGCTCAGCCCTCAGCTATCCAGATAGCCAGTGTGTCTGTATAGAAACTCCCTGTTTTAATCCTAATTTAAACACCACATCCATCTCCCTATTCTGTAAATTTCTTATTTTTTTTAATGTTCCAGATCTTATTTTTTTTTAATGTTCCAGACAGGAACAAGGAAAAACCTCACTTATCTCACACCAGTATCACAACACCTGTGACTCAAACAAGGAAAACATTATGTAGAAGTTCATAGCTTTTATCAGGAGTGAACCCCTTTACCCCATTCTGAGAATTAAATCTTCCCAATTTACCTCCATCTAAAGGGCAGCTGTCGCTCACAGGTGCAGAAGGAGAAATAAATATTGTTATCATATGCCTACTGACATTTTATTTAACTTATCCTTAG